TTTGGGTGACTGCGATCTTCACCCAGCAGTTTACGAGCCAAATACAGTGTCCCTTAGGCCTGCGTTTTGGGAAGAACTAGTTCTCGTTGCCAATCTTCCCCACCCGGCGTGGTGCCTTAGGGGAGACTTCAACATTACAAGGTGGTCCTTCAAGCCCAACATCAACTCCAATATCTCACAAGGAATGCTGGACTTATCAGACTTCATCTCTCATAATGAACTCCTGGACATTCCTCTACAGGGCAACCTCTTCACGTGGTCTGATCATTCTTCCCAACCCACCCTATCCAAACTCAATAGGTTCTTAACTTCTCTGCAATGGGATGATGCCTTCCTAGGAAACCATGCAATGGCTCTCCCGAAACCTACATCAGACCATTGCTCCATTCTACTCCAAACCCACTTGGCTCACAGGGGCCCCAAACCTTTCCGTTTTGAGCTTGTGTGGTTGGAAGAGTCTTCTCTGTCCTCCCTTATCCCTCAATGGTGGGACTCTTTCACAGCATTAGTCTCAGGTATGGCAGGGTTTATTCTCCAAAGGAAAATTCAACTTCTGAAAGTTACCCTAAAAAATTGGAGCAAAACAATTCCTGGGAACTTTAGTCTAACCAAAAGCTTTATTTTGTCGGCCATTCGAGCACTAGACCTCTCTGAAGAGTCCCTAACCCTCTCCAACGCTGAGTCCAACCTCAGGACCCAACTTAAACTTGACTACTTCTCTACCCTCAAAAAGGAAGAGATTTTCTGGTTTCAGCGTTTTAGGGTCAAATGGCTTCGCCATGGTGACCACAACACTGGTTACTTTCACATAATAGCTAATTGCCAGCATAGAGAGCACTCCATCTCGATGCGTACGGTGGAAAATATTGTTCTCGATCAACTTGCTGATATTGAAGAAGCTATTCTTTGATTCTATCGCTCCCTTTATTCAGCCCCTTCTGAACTGAGGCCCTAGGATGGGGGACCTCCAATTCCTCAGCTTACCTAATCACTGGTCCCAATGGTTGAAAAGTCCCTTTACGGAGCAGGAAATCTTGGATGTCATCACAGACCTGGGCAAAGACAAAGCCCCAGGCTCAGATGGATTCCCTATTACCCCTTTCAAGATTTTTTGGGATATTTTTAAGCCTGACTTCATCAATTTCTTCGACGAATTTTTCGATCGTGGTATCCTCCACAAAGCGATGAATGCCACTTCATCGCTCTGGTTCCCAAGGTTGAAGGGTTTGAGGAACTCAAGGATTTCAGACCAATCAGCTTGGTCAATTCAACATATAAAATTTTGTCGAAAGTGCTGGCACTAGGATTAAAGAGGTGCTACCTTGTGATCTCCTTGAATCAGAGTGCTTTCATTAAAGAAAGACAGATCCTTGACGGGGTCCTAGTGGCTCACGGATGCATCCACTTCAGACATCTTGTCAAAAAACCTGGACTCATCTTTAAGATCGACTGAGAAAAGGCCAATGACCACGTTGACTGGTCACTTTTGGATGAAACAATGGCAAGGATGGGATTTGAGATCCACTGGAGAAATTGGATGAGCGGCATTTACGCCCATCCCTTCTTCTCTGTGCTTATTTACGGCACACCAAGAGGATTCTTCCCTTCCTCAAGGGGTCTTAGGCAAGGGGACCCCCTGTCCCCTTTCCTGTTTACAATTTCGGCTGAGGTTTTCAGCTGTTCTTTCTCACGCATGTTCCAATCCCACCTTTCAGGCTTCAAGAGTAGTCTGAGTGTCCCTACGGTTACCCATCTATAGTACGCAGGTGATACGCTGGTGTTCATCGATGCATTACCACTCAAAATCGAGTACCTACACAGCTTTCTCAAATGTTTTGAATATGCCACTGGCTTCAAGGTCAACATGGGGAAGTCTACTATGATTGGGGTCGCTCTTTCCCACTCGGAGACCAGAGAGCTCATTCCCCTTTGGTCGTGCAAAGTTGAAGATCTACCAACTACCTACCTTGGGATGCCTTTGGGCATTGGTAAACCCAAAAAGAGACGGTGGTCTCATGTTATAGATAGGGTAGACCGATGTTTAGCTGGCTGGAAAGGCATATTCTTATCCTTTGTTTGCTAGGATTACACTGATGAAGGCTACTTTGTCAAATACTCCGGTCTACCTTATGTCCCTTTTCCATATGCCGCCGGCTGTAGCCAATCACCTGGAACAACCTATGAGAAATTTCTTTTGGTCAGGTGACTCAGATTCCACTAAGTTTCACCTCATTTCCTAGCAGAAAGTCTGCCAACCTAAACATTTGGGAGGACTAGGGATTAAGTCTTTGATGAAACAAAATACTGCTCTGCTCGGCAAATGGTGGTGGCGCCTAGCGAACCACAACAACCTATTCTAGTCTAATGCAGTACGTTCTAAATACCGTATCTTACATAATGCTTGGCTGCCGTAGGGCAGAAGACCGACCAAAACTTTTGGGCCATGGAAATCCTTTACTTCGGCTCTGACGGCTTTATAGCAAAACATTCAATTTCACCAGAGGGGTGGTCACAGAATTAGTTTTTGGTCTGACCTTTAGCTAGGTCACACCTTCTTGAGGGATAGGCTCCCCTTGTTATTCTCTCTGGCCTCCAATCCATCCTCTTCCATAGCTGAAGAGCTCCCAGATTTAGGGGGCCCAAGGGTTTGGAACTCTCGTTTCTAACAGTCCTTTTTGGATTCCGAATTCCTGGAATTCTCCTCACTGGCCTCCTTACTTCATTCCACCTTCGTGGCCCACTCTGGGGCCGATAGAATGATTTGGACTCCCTCACCCTCAGGAGTCTTCTCGGTTCTTCTTTTTACAAGAAATTGCTGATGCTACCCACTATCCATCCATCCCCAACTTCAGTCGTCTTCAAGGTATGGTCCTCCATTGCCCCACCGAAGGTGCATGCTTTTAACTGGATAGCGGGTTCTGAAAGAGCCCTCATGGTGGATCACCTACAACGGAAGGGTATCCCAATCCCCAACCTGTGTGTAATGTGCTGCTGTGAGGAAGAGACCAATCCCCACCTCTTCATTCACTGCAATCTTGCCCATTGCTTATGGAGTAAAATCCTCGGACTTTTCGGTCTGACCTGGGTAACTCCAGCCTCTATTTCAGGTCTTCTCCTCGCTGCAGACCCTCCTTGGCCCAAGGCAGGTAGACTCTTATAGAGGGCCTCCATAGCGGCAACTATATGGGTAATTTAGATTTAGAGAAACTCCGGGATATTTAGAGGTGCCAAAAATGAGGTCCCAGCCTTTTTCATAGAATCACATTCTTAGTGATCTTCTGGTTCTTAGTGATCTTCTGGGCAACAAACCTCAAAGCCTTCAAAGGATGAAATCTCTAGCATATGCACGGATATTCCCATCTTATGGATGCATACCTGGAAAGAATCAAACTCCCTTGCATACCACCTGGTTAGGGATGGAGCTCTCGCACAGACCGTGGATCATGGAGCATCAAGGACGGATCTTTAGAACACTGGGCCCACCCCTTTTTTGGCACCAAAGGACAGGTCCTCTGGTTTCTTTTTGTAAATGGTTCTTTAAGCCTTTTGGCCTTCTCTGTACACTGCTGTAATGGGCAACTGATATACGCCCAATTTTTTGTATAGGGTTACTTATTAGGGTAGCCTATTTTTGCTAGGCGACCCGGCTTGTGGGTCCCTTGGACCAACCTTTTTGTACTCCTTTCCTTTTCTTTTATACAAACATTAACATTATCAAAAAAAAAAAAAGAATTCACGTAGCTGACCCCAAATTTTTTTTTATTTTTTTTTAGTGAAGTTAACGAATAGCTGACCCCAAATAGATTATTTTTTGTTTTTTTGTTTAGTGAAGTCAACGAATAATACATGTTGAAGGCTTGTCGGACCTGAAGCCTATCCCACTTATCTAGTGGGCCTTAACAACGGGCCCTTATCATAGGCCTTGTGAGGGGATCCAGACCCAGTCTGTTGCTGGTTGGGCCTACGATGCCTGTCTGGCTGGCTCAGCCCACTTTCAGCACAAGTTATCTGGATTTTTGCCTCACAATTGGTCGGTAATTGTTATTGCAACCTAAGGTTGTCTCTTGATGCCAACTTACCTTACAAAACAGAAGAGTCTAGTTATCATATATTATTATAAATCTGCTTTGATCCTTCAACGTATGTCATTTCAGTCATTTGGTTTTCATACTCCTTACCCCTGCATCTGAAATACTGGGATTTTATGCATTGATTTTCCTACATTTGAGAAATTTTCAGGCGTTGAATGTGACTAATCATGAGGAAAAGTATACAAGAAACTATTTACTTTTGGTACAAGGTCACACTCTTGTTCATCAAATTCCAAATTGGGTGGTTGTAATAGTGTTGTTCACTAGACTCAGAAGTCCAAAAAAATAAATAAATAAATAAATATCTTGTGACATCTTCAAAACCATCCAATTGGACATCTAATAGCTACGAGTAATTATGACCTTGTAATAAAGATAATGGTCTCATAGTATACAATCTGAATCATAATCATTGATTAGAATTCGAGATCTATTCGTTCTAACCTAGGATTAGCAGCTTAGTAATGCACACATCAAGATGTGTAACTTGGTACAAGGAGGTCACAATTACATCTTTGGACATGGATATGAAATCATGCAGATGGGGCCGAGGGTGTACCATTTGCAGGGCTTAAAGTTCAAAAGATAATTTTACATACTTTTTGGCACAGCTTAGGATGCTAGATTTCGTATCTGATGGCTAAGGGTGATTGTGACCTCATACCAATCATAAGTGGTTTTGTAATATACAATCTCTTTCTTATCATATAAATTGCAAGTGGTGTAATTTTGTTGTTTTTTTACTTTACTCAGGTAAATAAAACTCCTAGAATTCCTTTTACAGTTTTTTTACTTCTCAGAATGATCAGATTTATTTTTCTATTTCAATTTTTAGAATACTATTGAAGAGGAGTCTCCAAGGCTTATTCCTCAATCTTACTTTATGAATTCATTGCTTCTTATTTACAGGGTGTAGATCCAAACTATTGTGACAGGCAAGGAATGTCACTGCTACACCTGGTAAATTTCCTCATATCTTCTCTTGCCATGAAAAATTGACAGGGTGTTTTCATTGACGGCATTATGGTTGTTGCAGGCTGCCCTTTTCAATCACACTGAAATCACATTCATCCTCATGGACCATGGAGCAAGCACAGAGCGTAAGAATGCACAGGGTATGCTCCCTCTCTGTTATGTCCTGCACTTCTTCCTACTGAATATGATTTTAATGCTGCATAGAGGAGGCCAGGAAACGCATGCATTGTACACATGCACATACATTGATATTGCCTAAATTTGGCATTTCCTTGGAATATGGAGTGGTACTTGGGGGTTTTGCTACTAAATTCATTCAGTAGATTACAAAATTATGGGCTTCATTTTCAGGGGAAACACCAGTAGATTGTGCACCTACAATGTTGCAGTACAAGATGCGGAAGAAGTTGGAGGAAGGCTCATCGAAATAAATAAGTGTCCTAGCATCTGTATTCCAATGTCCTTGTTATGAGAGAGAGAGAGAGTGAGAGTGAGAGAGATGCTGATAATCATTTTACACAGGCTCTTTTGTATGGAATTTGAGTTTGTAGCATTGGAATTGCATTTATCATTTGGTTTGCTATTCCAGGAAGTTTAAGATTGGAATTTAAATACCAGTGTGAATATTATAGCACAAGCATATGATAATTTTCAATTGCAGAGATATTCACGACATGTAGAAAAATATTTGGCAATTTGGCTAACTCATGTAAGTGACCTGGTTTTCGGACGATGTAGGAGCCAAAATACATGGAAAAGTATGCAAAGCGGCCATTTACTTTAGTACGAGGAGGTCCCAAGTATTCTTGACCATCAAATTTTAAATCAAATAGTTATCAAATTTCAAATCCAATGGTTATAAATGTACTTGTGACTAAACTCAATGCTCAACAAAAAATTTCTTGAACACCAAGCCATCAAATTGGACATCTAATGGTTAGGATTAATTGTGATCTCTTTGCACTAAAGATAAATGGTCTCATAGTATACAATTCCAAAATACTACATCTTAAATCAATTGAAGCTTATTTTTGCTTTGGATCCATAAATTTGGAGCTCCAAAATGGCTGAGATTTTATCCTCTTTGAAGAATTAAAGTGAGTGTCCAAGTGAAAAGTACAAAAGTGATATGTTTATAGCAATGTATGTCAAATATTATACACTTTATTTTTATTTTTTTCCAAAATCTGGAATGCTATATATTAGCCACTGCGCCAATCAATATTAGCCTTTATATCTTATAATAGATTGGGATATTTGATTATATTTCCCAGCATTTATTGGTTCCTGATAACTGACTTTAAAATTGTTGAATTGGCTCAAAATCACTCGGCCGGGGATTGGGAGCCTGCAATTCTGGCTTGGGGAACCCAGGCAATTCCAGTTCAAGTAGTTTTTACTTCCAAAATAATGGATATAATAACCTGGCTTGGGGAATCCAGGCAATTCCAGTTCAAGTTCTTTTAACTTCCAAAATAATGGATATAATAACAACAATTTTAGAAAAGGGTTATACAACAATAAAAGTAAGGCACATTTCAGTATTGGAAATCTTTGTAATGATTTGCAAATTTATTTTCATCTCTAATTATAAAATTTAAAGCTTCAAAAATAATGTAGATCAAGTAGATCTATACACTTGAAAATCTTGAAAATTGATGTTTTAAAAAAAGCATCACGAAAATGCACTATTTTCATAACTTGAAATCTATTTATTGTCATGTCCATACATCTTGAGGTCGAGATGATCAATTTGAGGATTATTGGGCAACAAAACAACCTCTTCTAGTGAAATTTTGAGATGCATCTTAATTTGATTGTTCACGGCCTCACCCTTATATAAACACTCAATTTTTCTTTTTAGAAAACACTCGATTTTTCTATAAGTAATATACCTATGTAAAATAATTGTCTGATGTCATATTCCAGTTGGTCTTCCTTTTTTTTTTTGTCAATTTATCTTGTCCATTTTTCAGTTTTCTACCCATTTTACCCGTTAGATGAGAGGGTTCGCATGCGCAGTGTCTTGATAATCCTTGATTGGTGTGATCCATTTGGTCAAAGCAACTATCATTTGGTTTAATTTGTCTTCCAAAATAATAAACCAGAGGTCCTTTGATGAGGAAAAGGGGGAATTTTTCTACTTTCCCTTTTATTAAAGGTTCGTTTCTGTGAAAATTAATTTAAAGAACATATTAAATACAATTCCTAATCTCTTGATAAAAATAATCATAAGATTCCTATCAAATTAATTGAAGAATCCTGGTAGGGATAGAAGTATATATATAAATATGAAAACCTCAAAGAACTTGCCTATTTTCTCAAACTCCTACTGGAAACGTTGTAAAAACCATAAATCTTCATTCCTCTCTCAAAAAACGTGAAAAATTATACATAAATTAAACAGCAACAACGAGGGGAAAATATGTGAATGTTTGTATATCTGTCAACTCCATCCTCTCCTTTTGTATCTTAACCCCATTCTCTCTTCCTTTCATTTCATGTGAACCTCTCTTCCATCTCTTACTCCCACCACTCTCTTATTATGCTTTAGTTAACTTGCACAAGGGCACGTTTGGTTGGTGCGTAAATATTACAAATGTAAACACTTTGCAAAACTTTGTTTTCCAAGCTTTCTTCTCGTAATGTTTGTTAACGCGTTTCAAAAACATTGCGTAATGAATTATGTTTGGTAACTTCTTTGCTATTTAAATATATTTTATAAATATATTAAATTTATATATATACAATATTTAAAAGGGTACGGTTTCTATAAGGTTGCAACCTTAAACGATCCAAGTAGGGCGCACCTTAAAATTTTATCATAACATGTCATTTTGTTGTAAAAAAATCTTAGCAATATCTTAAAATCTATTTTCATACCTTAGAAAATTTTAAATTCCAAAAATGGTTAAAATTAAGTAGATCTATAAATATATGAAAATCTTAAAAATAAACAGTCTAGATAATGTATTACAAGATGCACTATTTTCAAGACTCAAAAACTTTTCTTTTTCATATTCATACATCTCGATGTCGAGATGATCGATTAGAGGGTCTTTCAAACATTAAAACAACATTTTCGATAGATTTTTGAGGTGCATCTGTGATTCTACATTTAAGGTTGCAACCTTATATAAACTTTTCCCTAATTAAAATATTATAACTAAAAATATATAATATATTTATATAAATAATATTTTTATATTAAAGATAAAATATTATATAAATATCTATGACATAAATAAAATATATTGTATAATAAAATATATTATATTATATGGCATAAATATATATTTTATATTATGATATT